AAAAAAAAAGTTCAATCGGGAGACTAAAGTTCCGGAACTGTTTTTTTTTTTTAGAAATTTCTCTTTCAGAGGAAATTTTTTTGTTTCCTTCTCCCCAATCTTCCCATTGCCCGTCTAAAATGGATTACCACAAACCGAACAGAATGCATCTTATTAGCGCTGTGAAGTCACCGTTGATGCAAATGCAAATGATGATATTTGTCTGATCGATTTCCTCTGTACCAAATTCAATACTGCTTTCTGCCCTTTCCTCGCTTTTCCACTGTCAATTTTCAGAATTCTCTTGTTTGACACACGCATCTTTAGCTTGTTAGTATCTAGTCAACAAACAGCAATACCACTGAGTAGATCAAAAGAATTTTCTACTTCGAAACGGACTAAAGCAATGGTTTAACATCCAAATACAGAACCCTCTGTTGTATTAGTGAATAGTTTTATGCAGCCTATAACAAATTCTTGCTCAAAATAAAACGGTGATAGCATGTTGACCAAAAAAAGATGTTGAGAAGCGTGCAATTCTATTTAGAAACTATGAGTGCCATATTGTTGTTATAAAAGCTTCAAAATCTACATAAATATTCTCATTCTTTTTTTATCTAAAACAATGTGGTTATTTTTAAAAAAGTTTTTGTTTTTTCCCGCAGAAAAAAAACTTTGGAATAAAACTCTGAAAAACACTTGGGAGTCACAAGAGAATTTTGATGCTGCTCAAATTTAAGAATTTACCTCTTCATCTAATCAGATTTGCTGCAATTTTGTTATATTTAATTTTAAAGTAGAACTTTTTTCCACTTCTACTTATTTCAACAAAAAATCAGCAAAAAGAAATCCGCTGCAAAAATGACGAAAAAAAAAAAGAGATGAAGATTGCTTTTTCTTCCCTAGCAATAAGGGTCCCATTTCTTGTGGTTAAATATTCTTGAGATTTTTTTTTCCGGTACAGTGTTTATAATTATGAAGACAGTATGCTTCATGAGACAAAAAAGCAAATTCGTAGCTTGAACATAATAGTATTAATTTTGTCTAAAACAAAAAAAAAACGAAGTAGAAAGGAAACTAGTTTTATACAGAAAAAAATTCAGAATTTTCAAAATCAGCACTGATTGACTGTTATTTTCAAAACCATTCTATTGTTATAGCAATCAGAATTACACGCAAAATGGCAGTTATCTTCAACAACTTCCCTAATTTCCCTTCCTCACTTCTCTGCGATAAAACTCCATAAGTTGAAAAACAGGTCATCTATCAAAGTTC